GCCCAGGCGCTTCCTGCCGGCCGTGTCCCCCGCGGCGCAGACAAAGCCCGGATGTGACTCGGACGCGGGGCCGCGGGGCGGGGCGGGGCGGCCCGGGCACGGCGACCCTGCTGAGCTCCCGGGCAGGCGCGGGGAAGAGCGCGGCGCGGGCGCCCACCGCCCGCCGACGGCCCAGCCGGAGATGCCGGCCCTGCACGTGGAGGAGCTGCCGGAGACAGAGAAGCTCAGGCTGGAGGTGGAGCAGCTCCGCAAGGAGGTGAAGCTGCAGCGGCAGCGGGTGAGGCTGCCCCGCGGGCCCCGACGGGCGTGGGGTAGCGGGGGACCGGGGCTGGCAGGGCGGTCGCCGGCCTCCTCCCTGCCCTGGCCGTGGGGCCGGGGACTGGAGCAGCCGGGCCGCGCTGGGAGACCCGTAGGGGAGAGCGGGACCCAGGAGGCAGTCACAGCCTAGGCCCAGCGCTGAGGAGGCGTAGGGGAGGCCACGAGAAGCCCGGGAGGGAGGCTGCTGCAGGCTGCAAGACCCATGGCAGCGCGTCGTCAAGCCTCGCGCCTGCTGGCCGGGTCGTGAGTTTCGCCCGTGGCGTCCAGTGATGTGGAGGGGGACGGCCGCCCAGCCTGGGATTTAGAATGTTCGCTTTTATTCCATTTTAAAGCCCACCCCGGCGTGGCTTCCACCTTGTGCCTTATACGCGTGCATGACGGCTTAAACCAGTAGAATCTGCACGGATATGTACACCGACATAACGAAACACACACTGAGGCACCTGTGAGAGTGCTTCTGACCACTGTTTCAACATGGTAGGGACTGTGGATACAGATTACAGTTGCAGTGAGCCTATGCCCACTGTAGAATTCTCCACTGAAACCCGTAGGGCGGTTGTGGGGTCTGCTTGCATTTCTTGCTGGTAACAGGGGCCTTCATGTAGATACGAATCTCTCTTCCTTTTTAAAATCAATCAGGCAGCCTAGTCTAGTCTAGGAAAAGTCTTTGGAATAGATTTTTTTTAAGTCATCTAGTCCATTCTCCACAGCAATAAACTTTGAACTGATTTATTTACAGTTTAATGCTAAAAAACACTTGGAAAAACAACAGATATGCGGTGTTGAAATAGGACACTTGCCTTCCTGCTTTAGTTAAGATGAATCTTGAGTGGTGATTGGAAGAGGCAGGCCTTTGGGGGTTTTACTTTTTACATATTCCCTTTCTTAACTTCAATCCTTCACTTTCAAAGCCCTGCTTTTTCTAGGTTTTGTAGTGGGATGGCCTTTCCATCCATGTTGAAGGTTTTTGTGACTTTAAAAATACCAGTGTGTTTAAAGGAAAAAATAAAAAACAAAGTTGCAAGACTCAATAAGTTTGTTTGTTTCTTGAACTCTTAACGGACCCATTTCATGGATGGCAGAGTTCCCAAGACAGCACTCATTGGCTACTTAGACTTTTTCACACAACAAACCTTGGGCATTGCGTATTAAACAGAGTGTATTATTTGCCGAAGTCAAGCACTGCCTGGGCCAACAAGACTATCTTAATATTTGGCATCACTGCACAGAGCTTGTAGGGAGAAAGAGAGACAGACGTATTTATTCCAAGTTTCAAGTTAGCTGTTGGGCAGGAATGTGGACGCAGCTGACTTTGTGGATTGTGACCAGATCTTTCCTGAGCAGCATCTCTCTGCCGACTACCCTGCAGGACACACCCTGCTGCACTGCCTTTCCACCCAGAAACCCCAGTGTATGCCAGAGAGAGGAAGAGCTTTCAGGTATAAATCCTAGGGTGCAGAAGAAGGGGCATCTGAGTCCTGATCATAGCGCTCAGATCTGTGGTTATGCGCTTTGGGTTATAGCTCATTCATCCTGGGCAAGCACTGGGACCCTTAGAACTCACCGAGCCCTCCCGTGAAGGTAAAAACCCTGCATCCCAGAGAGTCAGGCCCACTCCTCGGTTAAGTTCACAGAGGTGGGGCCGGCCAGTTCTAACCTTGCTCCTCCTGATGCCCGGCCATTATTCCACTGATAGATTGTGAGCATCGGTATGTGTGCCCTGCCTAGGCCCGAGAGGAGCTTCAAAGGCTGCCCTAGGGCCCCACGCACCCTCCCAATTATGGGAGGGTTGTTTTCACTTCTGCAGGTTATGGCTCTCCTCTAGAACCTCCTGAGTAAGGCCCTGTGAGGACAAACACAGTGTGAAGACATGAATCTCACTGGATGCTCTGCAGTGCTACACACCCTGGTTATGGACACTGGCACCATCACATCCGAGAACACACTGAGCATACACACATTGTGAATGTCACAACAAGTGACAGCAAGATTTTAGTGGCATGTTTTAAGTCACATGATTTTAGCCCAGAGGCTTCCACACTGGTATGCAGAGAACAACCCTTTGGGCCATGGGGATAAAATATTCACACTCCTTTTTCTGTTTGGTTTTAAATCGCTTCCTCTTTAACTTCCAGCTTATGTTTTCTAATTATGGGTGATGTATTAGAAAGTAATATCTTCACTTATTTATACCTAAACAATTGCATGCATTGTGGGATACATATGCAAATGAACTAGAGTGATAGCCGTGAAACCGGTTTGGGGTAACTTACCTATCTGACATGTTCAAGGGGAACACTGGCCCGGTTTTAGTCAGTTGCCATTGCAATTTGCTGGAGCGTCTAATGTTTACTTCTAATGTCTTACTGGTAACACAGGAACTAGCTCTCTTTTCTTTCCTTTGTATTTATTTATTTTTAATTCACTCTGGCAACCTGTTTCTTAGGGATAGAATTTTTGAAGACACAATTCCGTTCCTTCTCCATGTTAGAAAAAGTGTAGTCCCAGGTACGCCCAGCAGCCCCTGCAAGTCTCCTATTGTGAGGGTCACCTTCAGCAGGCAGGCGTTCTCAGCAGAACTAGCAGTGGGACTCTTGACAGCCCTATGTTCCCAGGGGCAGGGTGTACCCACCTGCTGTCACCTGGTGAAACTTCAGAGCGCAGCGAGCAGACCAGAACTTGGAGGCTTGTTTGCCAGTGCACCTGTGCTCATTTGCACAGAAGAGTGAGAGTGGAGTGCATGTTGGCTCCCAGAATCTCGTAGACATATCATGATTGTGTATCACAGAGGAAGGAAATCATGGAAGGCACAGTGGATGAAAATTGCGGGGGACAATGTGTTTAACACAGTGAATGTCACACGTATTTGAGTCTGGCCAGTAGTAAGAAATATGTTTTATGTAGATTGTGTCACATACACGTAGAACAGAAAAGCCTAAGACTGTTAGCATGCAGAACAGAGATGGAGAAGCACAAGGGGTGCCAAAAAAATGTAGACACATCTTAGAAAGGAAAAAAATTGTATTAAAATTATAATCCTCAGTAAGATGAATACAAGTTACACTTGACTTCTGCAATTACAAGAGGTGCTCAAAGTGGTGACCATCAGCATCCAGACACATCTCATGACAGCGAACATCTCTTAAAATGTGCCTACTTTTTTTTGACACCCCCAGTACATACAGATACGTAAATTTAAAACAAATTAAGGCCAGACTCGGTGACTCAAGCATGTAATCCTAGCACTTTGGGGGGCTGAAGCGAGAGGATTGCCTGAGCTCGCACGTTCGAGACTAGCCTGGGCAACATAGTGAGACCTTGCCTCTACACTAAATCAAAAAATTAGCTGGGCGTGGTAACGCATGCCTGTAGTTCCAGCTACTTGGAAGGCTGAGGTGGAAGGATCGCTGGAGCCCGGCAGGTCGAGCATGCCACTGCTCTCCAGCCTGGGTGATGGAGTGAGACTCCAACTCAAAACAAACAAACAGAAACAAATTAAAGCTGGTTGTGCTTGATTGTATTAATTTCACTAAAGGGTGGTGATAAAGTCTAAGCAACCCTGACCTAGTCTACTCTCTTTTTCTATACTTAAGGTGTCAAAATGTTCTGAAGAAATAAAGAACTACATTGAGGAGCGCTCTGGAGAGGATCCTCTGGTGAAGGGAATTCCAGAAGACAAAAATCCCTTTAAGGAAAAAGGGGGCTGTGTTATTTCATAAAGAACTCTGGGGAGAAGCCGCAGCCTCAGCAGCAGGCTAGTTTGTTTTCTTTTCTCAAATGAAACCCGCATGCCTTTGAAGGAAGGGGCCATGACACATGGAGAAACCTCCTGGTGCATTCTGTTGCCGGGTCGCAGCCGCGCCCCCCTACACACCTGGCTGTTCTGAGAGAGCAGAGTGTCAGATGTGGGGTTGCGGAGGGAAGAATGTGACTTGTGCGTGATTCACTCCTCTCAGTATACTGCTTGATGCCTCAAATAAAATTGTATCTTGGGAAAATGAGTGTTGGTGATTAAGAGGGAACTTCTCACGCACTGACTGTCCTATTTCTCCCCACAACATTTTGAGGGTTTGAGATGATCTGGTGGCTGATGGGCCAGGGCTTCCACCGGCATTCCGGCATTCCGCGTCGGAGGCTGGTGGTGCAGAAATCTGACTCCCCGGGTGTGTGGGGTCTGACCCTCACTGTCAGGGAACCCAGCAGGTGGAATTCCTAACAGTGTTGACAGAAGGCCGATTCTCCGAATCAGGAACAGGGTCAAGCCTCGTCTACATAGCATTTCCCCAGCTAGACCTTGCCATCCTCTAGACCCTCTTCATGGTGTTCCTGCAGGTGTGGCCTTGGGGAGGGCCAGGGCTGGGAACCAGGAAGAGGGCCTGCCTCCTTGCAGGGCAGCGGCCAGGCCGGCTCTGGCTGTGGGACACGTTTGCCTGCACAGCCCCTCCTGCCCAGGCTCCAGGCCTAGGGCTGCACTGCTCATTCGGTGGCCTTGGTGCAGGCTCCTGGATCCCGGACAGACACCCGGCTCCTGGCACTGCTCCTTCCAGTGCACTCGGGCCATGCATGCTTGGACCAGGACACCTTCTCCACCAAAGGGACCAGGGACTCTGCCCACTTTAAAAATGTTTGCCTTTTTCTCACTAGTTTGCAGCCACTCTGCATGTGTTCCTGCCATGCCCTGTGTGCTGCGTGCTGCCAACGCCTCTCCCAGGCCGCGGCTTTGCTTTTCATGGTGACCTTGGCGCAGTGACTCAGCAGCAGGTATGACAGGTAGTCATAGGACACCTGCTCACTTCTCCACCACGACTCCCTGGCCCGGACCGCAGAGAGAGGTGCCTGTCTCCCTCTCTCTGGACAGTTTTCCCTTTCCCATTTGTCTTTTGGATGCAAATTGCCCCAAGTTTGATCCCAAAGAAAAACATCCTTGCTGGTCAGCTCTGACTCAGAGTGACATCACTGTCTTGCCCGACGATCTTACGGTGGCACCAGGAGCCATATTTCCCTGGATGGGGGTCCTCTCTCCCCCCTCAACCCCTGGTGTGGGTGTGCTGCCCCACCCCAGCCAGGATTTCCTGTGACCTATGCGACCTCCTAACGTGTGCCCGCATCTGCGTCTTTGCTCTCAAACCCCTTTCCCTTCCCTCTCTAGAGAGGGACAGGATACCGGGGCTTTTGAAAAAGTTAGTTTCACCAAGCCAAGAGCAGATGCAATTTCCTTCCACTCCCATCATGTTCCAAGTGGTGACGTCAATTGGGATTGCTGGGAGCCCAGGGATAATTTTAGCTCAAGGAATGATTGACTCCAGGGAAGGTTCAAGAACAGCATAGACGTATTTCTCCCAAGCGCTGCAGAATGGCTAGTCTTTGGGGTGTTTTGCCACCATCAGTGCCCTAGCACCCAACAGGGTGTGGGATGTTAGTCCCTCGGGGCTTGTAAAGTTCCACTTTCATGAGCTGTTTCATTTCTTTCCAGTCATAAAATTGTCCTTTGTTGCATCTGAAAGCAAACTCCTCCTCTTCTGGTTCCTGGCCAGGCAGATCCAGTCACCTGCTTCTCCAAGGAGGGCCAGGAACGCATTTACTTCTTGACTCCTGAAGGGTTGTGATGCCCAGGCTGTATCCTGAATTTCCACAAGCTGCGTTCAGCCACCCGTTCATGTATCCCCTGCGCCAGTCCTGTCCCTTTCAACCATGTGACAACTCAGTGAGTCAACTTCTGGTTTGTCCTTAGTAAATATCCAGACTTGTAGGAGTTTCTACTCAATCTAACTCTGTTATTTTTTTTCTTAATGTTTCATCACTGGAACTCAGCCAACACATAGAAGTACAGTAAAACCACTTTGTTTTTCAAGTGTTCAACTGCTAAAAATTTATTAGCTGGCATTAGGAACAAAAAGAAAAATGCAGCTACTATGGGTATTTGGATATATTATAACTGTAACCTTTGTAAATGAGAACTTAAGTAAAATTTAAATTATGTGTCCAATTTATTCCAAGTATATAGTTGTGTGATCACTTGCTATTTGATTAAAAATAGTTGCCACACTTTGTGTATGGAGACTTAGGCTCTATAAAATCATTCTACATTAGAAAAAAATGGAGTTTTCTATTTCTAGGCAGAATCTACCTTCCAAGTTCACCCACACTTGGTATTGTAAGACAACCTATTTTTGCATATTGGATGTAAATTAGCATTTTACTATGTCTAAATTTACATTTCCTTGATTTCCAGTGATGCTGAGTCAGTTTTCCACGTGTCCATTTTCTGTTTTGAAGTTGCCTGTTTTCATCCTTTGCTCATTTAAAAAATCAGTTTACCTTTTTTTTGCTGAGTCGTAGGATTTCTTTATATATTCCAGTCACTTCGTTGGTGACATATGCTGGAAATACCTTCCCTGTTCCAAGGCTCAACTTTTTACTTTGTTGTGTCTCTCGATAAACAGACAATTTTTAATTCTGTTAAACTTTTAATTTTGAAATTATTAATTATATTTTGAAATTATTATTAATTCATAGGAGGTTGCAACGAAACGTACAGGAAAAACTATGGCACTCTTGCTCCAGCCTCCTCCAAATTAAGGTTTTATAGGATGACGGAGCAATACTAAAACCAAGAATTTAGCCTTGCAGATCCATAGTGCGTGTTCAGATCTCCACAGTTACGTACGTGCTCGTGTGTGTGTGTGTGTGTGTGTGTGTGTGTGTGTGTGTGTGTGTCTCTACGCAATTTGATCATGTGTAGCCTACGCATTTACCACCACAATCGAGATACTCAACTGTGCCATCACCATAAGAGTCTATCCTTTTTTCTCTAGTAGTCACACTCATGCCCTCGCCCACATCCCTAACCTTGGCAACCACTAATCGGTTCTCCATTCCTGTCATTAAATCAAGAATGATGCATGGATTGAATCGTGCCATAGATGTTCTTTCAAGGTTGGCTTTGATGATTCAATGCAATTTCCTCGAGGTTCATCCAAGTTGTGTGTACTAATATTTTATTCATTTTATTGCTGAGTGGTATTTCCTGCTACAGATGTGCCACAGTCTGTTTAAAAATTTACCCTTTGAAGAACATCTGGACTGTGTTCAGTTTTGAGCCATTGCAAATACAGGTGCTCTGAACATTTATGTACACTACAGATTTCTGTATGAAAAGAAGTCTTCATTTGTGTGAAATAAGTTTTCAGGAATACATTTTCTGGGCTCCATGGTAGATTCATGTGCAGTTTTTAAAGAAACAGCCTCACTGTTTTCCAGAGTAGTTGTACCATTGTATAGTCCCATGAGCAGTGTGTGAGTGACTCAGTTTTGCCACATCCTCATCAGCATTTATTATTATAACTTTTTATTTTAGCCATTCTGTTAAGTGTAGTAATATCTCCATATGGTTTTAATCTGTGCATCTCTAATAGCTAATGATATTGGGCTTTTTTCATGTGCTTATTTGCCATCTGTATATCCTCTTTGATGGAATGTTTATGCATGTCTCTTGCTTATTTTCTAATTTGATTGTTTATTTAATGTTGAGTTTTGACAGGTTTTTTTACTATATGTTAGATACAAAGCCTTGGTTAGATATTTTTGAATATTGTCTTTCAGTCTGTAGTTTGTTCTTTTTTAACTTCTTAATTGTTTTTCCCTCTCAAGAAAAATGGTTTTAATTTGATAAAGTCCAATATATCAATTTTTTCTCTTATGAATCATGTTTTTTGTGTAAAGTTTAAGAACTATTTACACACTCCTAACCCCAAATAATTTCTACTGTGTTTCTTCGAAAAGTGTTATAGTTTTATGTTTTATATTTTAATCTATGACTCATTTTGAGCTAATTTTTATAAGAAGTATAAGGTCTAGATTGCTCCAGCACTATTTATTGAAAAGACCAACCCTTCTCCGCTGAATTGCTTTTACTCCATTGCCAAAAATCAGTTGGGCCTGTTCGTGCATATCTGTTTCTGAGTATTCTTTTTTTTGTTGTTCTATTTGCTTTTTTCTATTTGCTTTTTTTGTTCTATTCTTTTTAAAATTCTATTTGTGTCTGTTCCTTTGCTAGTTCCACATTATCTTGAGTTTCACATCTATATAGGAAGCAGTAACATCAGGAGGAAGATTCTTCATTCTTTATTCTTCTTTTGAAAAATGGTTGTGACTATTCTATGGCATTTCTCTCTCCATGTTAATTTTAGAATAAACGTGTCTATGTCTACAAAGTAAACAGATGATCTCAGCTGTAGAGTGGAGATTCAGAGGATAGAATCAGTGGACTTGAACACCAGTCTATGGTATTTACTCAATAGGAACAAAAGAGAGAAAATAGATTTTTAAAAACAGATTCAGAGGAATAAGCAGGAACAAAAACGAAAGATCTAATGTTGGCATAATGAGAGTCCCAAAAGAAATGGAGGAAAATGTGGGACTGAAAAAGAGGCAACAGAAAAATAATGAATAAAAACAGAACTCGGTGAGACAGAGACATCTGCATATCCAAGAAGGTGAGAAAACCATGAGCATGACAAACCTGAAGAACTCACTTCTGAGCACAATAAAACATCTTGAAGCCAAAGATCAGGGAAAGAACTAGCAAAAGCCTGGAGATAATGAACCCATTATGTGATCAGAAGCCATGAGGCCAGAAAGAAGAGGCATGACATTTTTAAATGCTGAAAGAAAAGAGCTGTAAACATTGACTCTCATACCAGTGAAACTGTCCTTCAGGAATAAAGAGGAAATAAACATTCTCAGATGAAGGAAAACTGACGGAACGGGTCGCTAGCAGATCTCTCGAAGAATGGTCAAAGGAAACACTCAGAAACAAAAGAAAGTATCAACAGCAAAATAATATGACCTCCGGCGGGGGGGGAGTAACAAAAAATAAAGGGAAAAAATTAAAGCTGGCACTATAGACTGTCCTTCAACTTAATCATGTTTGTGATTGAAGCAAAAGCTATAATAACTGTTCAATAGATATATAAAAGAAATACATAAGAAAGCAATA